CACTAATAAAAGAGAAACATGGTAATTGGCGTACGACCGCTACCCTTTTCATTTTCTAATCAGTTGCTTACAATGTTGCGATCCTGCTGGCTGAAGTCCAGTCCGACTAAAGCAGGTTTCTGGGGTTTTGTTTAGCTTCTATATTTGTTACCTAGTTGCTTAGAGTTGCAGCTCAGAGGCCTGCAGCAGCAGGCGGGGAACGTTGTAGTCCTCCGTCACTGAAGCAAGCAAGCCTTATGTTAAGTTCAAGCTTCCTGGCTGCCGGCCGCCATCTTGGCTGGCAGTTAATTTGCATATCGCCCTGATTAGCCAATGGGAAGGGTAGCAGATGTACGGCTAATTACCATGTTTCTCTTTTATTAGATAGCATGAGTATTAATATCCCAATGATATATAAATCTGTCCTAATAGCGATCTATATGATTGTAAATCTATATGAACTCTTTCTACACTAACTCTTTATTGAATGAATATCTTATTATGAGTAATTAAAGAATTGAGTTAAAAAATACAAGTTCAGCCCTGACTGGTTTGGCTCAATGGATAGAGCATCAGCCTGCGGACTGAAGGGTCCCGGGTTCGATTCCGGTCAAGGGCATGTACCTTGGTTGCAGGCACATCCCCAGTAGGAGGTGTGCAGGAGGGAGCTGATCGATGTTTCTCTCTCATCCAATGTTTCTAACTCTCTATTCCTCTACCTTCCTCTCTGTACAAGATCATTAAACTATATTTTTAAAAAAATCAAGTTCAATATTATTTTACCTCCTTTGGTTTGGTCACTTATTTGGGGAGGGAGATTTGTTTCATTGTGTTTTTTCCTTCCTTCTTTTAGTTTTACTGAAAAAAATATTAATCTAGCTTCTCAAACTGTTGTCTTTAGGATATCAGCAATCCTGATGCTGAACATTTCAAAGAGAATGAGAAAGTTAGTGATACAATGCTGCAAAAATTGAAGAACTTTCATCTTAAAAAGAAAAATTTAGATGAAGAGGTACTGTATATATTCTTTATTCTAAAAATTATATCACCCTGGCTAGGTAGCTCAATTGGTTAGAGTGTTGTCCCAATACACCACAGGTTGTAGGTGCGATACCCAGTCAGGACACATACAAGATCAACCAATGAATGTATAAATAAGTGTAGCAACAAATCTTTCTCTTTTCCTATCTCTCTCTTCTTCACTCTCTCCCTCTCCCTCTCCCTCTCCCTCCCTCCTCTCTCTGAAATCAGTCAATAAAATTTAAAATAATAATAATAATAATAGCCCTGGCCAGGTGACTCAGTTGGTTGGAACATTGTCCCCTACACCAAAAAGGTTACAAGTTCGATTCTCGGTCACGGCACATATCGTAGTTGCGGGTTTGATCCCAGGTCTGTGTATATGCAGGAGACAATTGATCAATGTTCCTCTCTCATCTCTCTCTCTCTCTCTCTCTCTCTCTCAAATCAATAAAAATATATCCTTGTGTGAAGATTTAAAAATAATAAAAATTATACCATTTTTAGTGAAAAAACAAAGTAAAACGTAGCATAAAATAGAAATGAATTTCTAAAAATTTGGATATGTTTTATGAATGTTTTTGTGGACCAGATTAGCTTTACTATGGCCCTTACTAATGAGCTATATTGTTTGATATATAACTTGTTTTATGATATGTTTGTATTAGACAGTCTCAGTAATCTGCCAAAACAAAGTGGTATGATTATTTTCTCTTTTACATGGCATTATTAAGTCCTGGAAAATAGTGTATTTTGAAATTTCTGTACTGATTTCAAACTTTATCACTCGAAATAATGTATAAACTGAAACCAATAATTTTATTTCTCATGTGGGATAAGGGTAAAGGAAAAGGTTCCTGAAACTTCTTCAATTATTCTTTTCTTGGTGTAGTGCTACTAACATCTACTTATATAAAAACCATGGGTAGTGTTCATCACATCCAGAAGAACTGCCACAACCAAGCGGAAGGAAGTCAATCCTGCAGGGGTTGTCTTGGCAACGGCTGCGCCCTCCCCCAAGCTGTTTCCCAAAGCTGTTTCCTGTAAGGGCAGGGTTTGAGGCACGAACCCACCCTGGAAGCGTGGAGGCAGATCTTTCTAAAATGTGCCGCAGGCCAGGGGTGAACCTGAGTGGGGGCGGCTGAAAGGTTTAGAAAAGACAGACAAGAAAATGAAAGCCAGGTCTTAGTAGGACGCTGCTTCTCTGAGAGACAGCAACCACGCCCACAGCCATGCCTTTATTTTATAGCAGATGCTATGAGGCAAAGTAATGGTGTGACCAAGATGTTTACAAATGTTGGGGTCCAACCCCAGCAGGTCGAGGGGTTCCCAAAGGTGTGGACGGAGTCAGCAAAGAAGGAATGACACTGAGACAGTGTTCAGTTGATCAGCAGCCTAGCAAGGATCTCCAGCCAAGTTCTGGTCTGGTTCTCCAGAGAAGTTCTGCG